TGAGTGAAAAAATTATATTTTTACAATCTTTAAATTCTCAATAATTCCTGGTTGTACTGTAACAGATCGCGTGAATGGAATAATGGACTTGGACCACATCCAATCAAACGCATGTTTGTTATTAAAACTCTGCCTACATGATGATGCAATGGGAATATTGCGACATGACGTCAGTTTTGTGGCTCTATCGGTCTATGCATTAAACAAGAAGTTGTTATCTGTATAGTTGTATTTTATGTCACCCTTTCTCATCCACACAGTGATTCCAAACCAACAAATAATATAAACGCTAGACTCGTAATCTTCTGCAAAAATGTTGGATCACCAAGAATGGAACCAATGAACTTCATAAATTTAAACCAACATTTGTTCACATCTGTTAGATTTGACAGTCAAAACATGATGGGGTGACCTCGTTACTAGTCTGTTTATACACACACATTTGTTCTAAACAGATGTCGAAGCCCCTAAGTGTATCCCTTGTAATTAAATGTTCACCGTCTAGCATCATGTGCTTGACTTTTCAGTTGCAATTTATTCACACTATCATGCAGTATGCAACGAAGAAATATGTTTATCATCTTGATGTGGCGTCGCGAGTAGATAATGTTTGCAACGGGATTTTATTGTGTTTCGATGAAATGTAATATGCCAGTGAACTCCGTTTTGTACTATTCCTGTTTGTAGCATACAAACGGCGAGTCAACGTAGATATTCAGCAAGCATTACATAAGCGTTGTATGCAGTTAACCAAAAGTGTTTTTGAGTGCCCGATAACCTACCAATTAGTGTGTGCTGTTCAATGTGTTGTTTGTTTAGAATGGTCCAACATAACATTTACTGCACATGGACATGAAAGTGAGTGATCCCTTTACAGTTCTGGATTTCAAGTTGACATTTCGGCAAGGATGTCAGAGTAGGACATGATGATACAGCAGAGAGATTAACAAGTATAACAAACTACAAATTGGTGTTGGGGTTGAAGTCATGTCAAAGTAAAGATAGGGGTTAAGCCTGTAAGCTGGTTGATAGTTGACGAGATGATGGTAGGACAACGTTACCTTGGTGTCCGTTAGATGAATGGGATGGTCAACTTGGTCCAGTGACAGGGGTTTTGATTGATATCATCTGAGATAGCCGATTTTGAGTCTTTGGTACAGCTTGGGTGTTCTGTGATGAACATGTTAAGGAACCTTCATCATATGTATGTTTTCATTGAATTAATCATCATGCATCTTCTCCACTAGGAGTGTATACGTACTTAAAAGTATATCTCCTTGACTTTGCAGGAACATTTGAGTTGACCTATCCCCAAACGTGGGAAAGATGCACGCATTTGGGCCATCACTTGTAGTGTTTGTGTTTTGTTACATCACTTCGTTAAAAGAAAGGACTCGTACATAGGGGAAACGTCCCGCCCCCTAAACCTGAGAATCAAGGAACATCAGACAACAGTGAAGAAAAAAGACTCCAAATCAGCCATTTCCGACCATACATAAGCCCATCCGAAACATACCATCCTTTAGAACAACATCAGCATCCTTGAAGCCAACCGGTCCATAAAAAAGTGTTCCTCTTCATCATACAGCTTCTAAAAGCCACTTAAAGAAGATATCTACATCACCTATGCGTTTCTGTTTTTGGAGAGTATATTCACTGAGAACAGACAAGGTATCAAAACAGTAAGCCACTCCAACAGTCTTGAGAATTGTACTTTTTTAAAAGTGTTTACTTCATTATTACACCCCAAAACTCTGAACACGATGTGAACAATTTCCGAGAGAGGTGGAAGCACATTGGTGACAGACAGATCGGGTGGCATTATCTCAGTAAGCCCCCTAATGTTTGGTGTGGGGAAATTATACACACCGTCTTGATATGTGCTTCGATGCACAGTGACCTGTACATCCAAGCTTGCACGAGGGCGTAGGTAACATATGTGAAAAAGACTCACCTCCTCCGATCATCCAGTGGATATGTGTAACAATATTATACTCAACAAAATAACTTGGCACCCACAGTATTGGTATTAATTGTGAGGAAATAATTCTTTTTAGTTTCTTGTCGCGATATAAACATTTCAGTGACACGTAGGCTGATTGAATATTGTTTGTGTGACCGAACAAATGTGTCATAAAGCGTTAAACAACAATCAAGTGCAGCGACTCACGTGATCACATTATTGATCGCACATGCATTGAAATGCAAGCAGACAAACACTGGAAAACTAAACCGGACAACACATAAAAATGCAAGTTACATCAAATCGCGCGACCCACAAAGGCTTCATGATGATGTTGCAACAGATGGGCACCGTTGCAGAATGCCCCAAGGTCTGTGACATCACACCAAGATGTCCAACTTACGTCATCTCAGATTTGTGACTGCAACCTCCACTAGCAGACAGTTGGTCATAGGATTGTATGTCTGGAATCGACTGAGCACATCAGAGATCTTGACACCATACACTAAACAGAAGCGGAGAACGTCATGCACAGTGTGGAGTACGTGAAATGTGTTCCAACATTCGTCCAGTGGAATCTCACTGCCATACAGTAGCAGACCAAGACATTCTGACATCAGCTTCTTACGTTGATGTCATTTGGGAAGACGAGCGCGACAGCAGATGAATCAACCCCAGACCATGGCGAAACATGGACAGGCATTCGTTGATCAATGGTGACAAGGTCTGGTTAGAGTGTTCCGACTGTTTCTCCTGTCCAGGACACATTGTATTGTAACGGTCGCCTAAGGAGGTCACACTCGTTACTGACTTCAGCTTTATCAGTGTGAGGTTTTGTGATCCATAGGAAGTCATGCAGTATGTTTCCAATAAAACGATGCCGCAACCCACTTTCCATCTTTTTTTTACCTGGATGCTGACACTATTATACACATCTATTTTTTAAAATATAAAATGCACCCTCCACTTCCGTTGTGAGATTCAATTTAATAAGTGTCACGTTTTATATTTGGTTGAGTATATACGTATTTGAACATTCTAAATATGTTTGCGGAAAATAACATAATTTCCTTTGTTTCGAACATACAGAACTAGAATGATAAAGTAAATTAATGCATGTCGTGTCTCACACTGTATATATGTTTTGATTATCAGTGTAGTTTGAGTTAGAGTTGCTTTAAATATACTGAACCACAAAAAGAAACGTCGCCTTTCAAAACTTAATGCAAAATTTTGTTCTTACAAGGTGGTGTTTTTATTATGATTGTACCGTTTTTCAAACATGGTTTTCAATCCAAATTGACAGTCATTACCAACATCAGTGTGTTTTCTGATGAAAAAGCATATCGACCAAATGCACAGAAAAAGGCAGACATGGGAAAAGGTTCCGTATGACATTCGTGAAAATGAAAATGCACGTGCATGTCGTGACAACCCTGCCAATGAGAGCGAGTCCCAAACTCGCCTGAAATCATTTTTGTTTTGACACAATCACCATGCCACGACTTACGAGAGATCAGAGGAACGAAGTCTTTGGACGATTGCAAGTTGTCCAGACTGCACAGAGGGTAGCCATGTTCATGTTAGGACAATCTACCAACTGCAGGAGTGCTATCAGGTCACTAACAGCATCCAGTGTCGATACAAGACCATATCGTAGTCCTCTCCTCGCCGCTCATCATCGCCCAAACCGACTGCAATGGGCAACTCAGCATCGAAATTGGCGTTATCGACAATGGAGAACTATGCTTGTGCCTCACGAAAGCCGATATTGTGTTTCGACAATCGATGGCAGAGTGGGAGTATGGTGAAAGCGTGGGGAACTGTTTTCCAATGAGTGTATTGTTGAAAGAGACTCATGGGGTGGTCCAAGCATCATAGTGTGGGGTGCAGTCAGTCTGAACCAGTTAGTTGACACCGTGGTGTTCCAGAATGTGGGTCCAGGATGAGGAAATGACGTGACAGCTGCTCGCTATATTGACCAAGTCATAAGACCCCATGTTGTACCACATTTTGGACGTTACAGATATTACATCTTCCAGCAAGACAACGCTCGTGCCCACACTGCCAGAGCAACATTGGACTTTCTAAGACAACATGGCATCCAAACCTTACAATACCCTGCAGTCAGTCCGTATTTAAGTCCAATAGAACACCTTTGGGACGAGATTCAAAGAAAACTGAATGACCTCCAAAGGACTGGACTCGATCAGGCATTTCGCAGAGAATAGCCCAAGTACCTATGGCCTTCATCAACCGGCTAATTCATTCCATCTAAAGACGATGCATCGCTTTCATCGATGCCCACGGAGGCCACACATAATACTGACTTGGGGTATCTCAATGGTACCATTTTTAGTGATTTTGTTTTTGTGTGAACTCTAAATGTGACGCCCGAAAATGTGTTAACCATACATTGTCAAGTTTGAACTCAGTCCTCCGTTTTGATTGTTAATTAGAGTGGATTAAAGTGTGTGCTTTAAGAAACAGCTATCGGTGCGACATTTCTTTTGTGGTTCAGTATATTAGACGCTACAGGAAAATCCAGTTCAATGAGGCGTCTCAGTCACATGACCTGGCAGCTAAGCAACTCCTAGCACCTAGTTGTAGATGGATCTGTGAACTAAATCTGTATTGTGTACACAGTGCAAAGCTAAAATGGTGTTTTGTTTTGTCTCCATCGAAGTCGCTGCATATCACTGCGTCCTGGAATCGTATGGTGCATCATAGATCGAAGTCATGGCGAATCTCATCATCTCGAGAGAACTGACACCTATTATAAACTGAAACAATATTTTCCGGCAACAGTGAAATAATTAAAAACCGGGGGTTAACAACCTGAGAAAGGCAACGTCATTGTTGTAGGCGTTCATTCTAGAGATCCATTTGAATATGAAAGGCCGCAAAAATATTTCGTTCGACTTTTCGAACGAAAGATACTTGGGTCAATGTTGTAAAATGACAACGTTGTATTTGAGAAAGTGATAACATTCCTTGTCGTAATTTCATCTGATCATTGAAAAAACCACACGAAGGGTAACATGATCAAGCATTTATTTAGAACAGAGTTTATGAAACATAGAACACCTCGATGTTCGCTAATGTTAAGTTCCCCAGGAAAAAAAGGTTAAACATAACATAGTGAAATAAAGTATTTCTGGAGTATAACTGAGTATTTCTCGAAGAGATAACCATCTTGGTGAATGATCTAACGGTCCTTTGTACTGCTGTATACAAGGAATCTGGTGGAAATACTCCCTTGCAGTAGTATCTGACGGAGTACGAATGTGTGTAAGATAATTGGAAAATATGATTTCATATGATGGTAAGTATATTAAAGCAAACTGAAGAATGGTAGAACAAGAAGAGGTATAAATCCCGTCATAACCACACCGAAGGACCTGAATGTCAGTCTTCATGTTTTATGAACACAAAATCATGTCAAAGACTTGTGACATACTCCTTCAAAAAACAGCCGCCGTACTGAATTCATCACCATCCGTTTTCTTCTTCGCCGACCTGCAAATAGAAGCAGATTTACTTAAATAACATGAACACACATTGCCTGAAGCAAGGTAAACTACAACGTCTCACCTTCCTGGTTCTGGTGACGCTAATATCGCTACAATGATAGGGGACACGTGGTGCTGTGAACATCATGTATGTCATGTATCCTAAAGAAGACATCTTTGAAAAATGAGACAAAACGGTTTCGGAACCCAAACTTCACGCCCCAAACATCCGAAAACATGGCACGTGGATGCAATTCCTCTGTGCATTTTAGTACCGGATCAACAATATTTTGCCACTTGAATGGTTGAGCTATGAGGAATGTTGATTTTCATTATCCATGGTAATTAAACGCAACCTTTCTACTCTGGCTTATATGCAGTCGCTTACAATCTGAGTTAGCTAAAGGGGTTTTGGATGTTTTAAACTCAGCGAAGGGAAGCCAATATGTTCAAGTCAAGTCAAGTCAAGTCAAGTGTTTATTTATGAAGGCCAAAGGCCACATACAGTATTCGTATACCTTGGTACATGAGTTTCTGTGGAATAACATTTCAGTTTTAATGCTTGTCGTTTCTTAAATGCGCAATACAAGCATTTCCACAGAAGTTTTTGCATTATTATGAAATTCTATTCTCCTGCATCTTGAGACAACATAATCCCAAAAGTGTGAAAACAGCAACAGTCGCAATTAGGCACATAATTATTACATCCATCTGTACTTCAGGTAACAAACCAGGGTCAAAGAGCTTGTTGAACAAAGTAAATTAATAAAGCATAATAATAGCTTCAGTATGTTTCAACATTTCAGGACACATCTGTCTGTTTCATTCACCATCTCCTCATCACGACTAGGAACATTAGTGCTGTCGGCATTAGAAACAGTATCAAGGACATTCTTAAAGGGATTAAACCAACAAGTACTGTCTTGTTTTTTTGTTTTTTTCATAGCATCTGCTGCGCTTAACACTTTTTGAAAGAAAATGTCTAATGCAGTATTGAGATCATGAATCCCTTATTCGTGGCAAGTGGTGACCTATCAGATCGGCGGTCAGGCTCATTGTCGATTATCAACAGACCACCTTAAAAAGCTGTGTTCGACCTTTCAGTTTTGACCATACTGAATTATCACAATATTCATATACTCAAACCTTTCCCCATCACAAATCAAGGTTGACAACTGGATGCTTTCAAGAGTTTCGATTCTTATTTTCAGTATGGTCGCCAAGAAATTCATATGAATAATTTTACGAAGCCATTTATAATATGAAATTAGGTATATATGTAACTGGTGGCGAGTCTTCACACGTTTTAGCGGCATAAAATGCCAGATATATTTTGACGGGTCATATACTTATGTCAGGACACTGTTAGAGTGCATGCTTATTACTAAAATGGGTTTTCCGATCAATTGATTCACTCGATTTGTCCTGTGCGAGGTCGATTTCGTGTCTAGAGAAACCTTTTCAGACTATGTAAATCACAGACTGATTCACATCCTTATAAGTCAGACCAATTTAACGACCTGTCACTGAACAATCAAAATAAGGAATGGCCTCCTTTGCCAACATGGAGGAATTCCATGGAGGGCGTGAAATGTTTCTGTGGCTAGGGCGTTTGACTTGTGCTCTGAAACCGCAGTGATATCTTTTTAAAGCTGACCTTACTTCTTACAACCGATCATAACATTCATATTTTAGTTTCCGTATCCTTTAAAACGTCTGAAAAGACCGATAAGGCTCATTGTCAGCTCAGGAACCCTTGCCCCCTCCACACGTGGCCCAGACTGAGAATGGGCCTTCTCCCAGGAAACGCAATTGAATCCACCAAGAATTTTCCGGAGAATATGATAAAAGTGAGGTACGCCTGTTAGCGTTGTATTTTTCTGAATCTTTGTTGTCAAGAGGGACAACGATAGAAATAATTCCGTCGGTTTTATAAAAAAGTGACAACATCGGGTTTGCCGGCTTGGATATGTCTGAGGCTGGATATGGGCCTATTCCAACGAATTTTACACGACGTCCCCTACATATTCTGGGTCGTACCATGGATGGACGTCGGAGTTCATGGCGAAGACGGTAATAAAAGCACCGAGCAACACCATTATGTCGCTTAAGATACCGTGCCTGTGCCAATGCTGGCCATTCACTCACTAGGTGTTTGACAGTCTGATAAAAATAATTACACACTCTACTTTTCATATTTACATTTTGACGAAAAATCACACATTGACGGTTACAGACGTCCATCCAGCACAATGAGAGGTTACGCTCGTACCATCTTCAAGGATATTTTTTGAACCAACAATTGATCCTTGCAACCCCAACATCCCTTTCTGTCTCTTTTCCGCTCCATGTAAACATTAACGTTGGAGGAGCACATGATCCGTAAGACACCCTGTCAATAATTTGTATTGTGTATTCAGGCTCCTAATAGCTGGAAGTAGTGTTCGACCTTTGCAGAATCGAGAAGGGGACATTCCCCTGTATCAACGAGAGAACGCAAACGGTGAAGTAACAAAGGAACAGTTTCCCATACTGGTTTCCAATACCGTCAGACCCTGGCGCCGCATTCGATTTAGTACAAGTATAGATCTAGATAAGTATATGTATGAAATCATTCAGTTTATGAGGGTACAACAGACCAACATGATTTATTGCAAAGGTGTGTTTCCAAACGGTTACTTTTGAGAGTGAGGAATTAAGAAAGTTGAGAGTTGCAATGTTTTTTTTCAATTCTCAAAGTGTATGGGACGCATCGCGCAACAACAGGACTGGTGCACCGTTACTCACCTCACAGAGCAAGGGTTTGTGAGCATGGCATCAACCTCAGTGGAAAAGTCATCAGTTCTGTTCTGAGACAAATTTTCGGACACTTCAAATATTAATTGCGCCCCTGACTTTGGTATAATGATGTTTGAAAGACAACAACCGGTTCATATTATTGTTTTACTATATCTTTTCTCATCCCACTATACGTGAAACAAGTACACCTTCCCGAATGGATCATTGCATATTAGCCTAACAGCTGTACATAAATCTGACTCGTATAAAACTTTATTGTCATGACAAAGCTAACAATTGCGGGGGATAATGTGATGAATCAAGTGACACTTGAGCATTTAACCCCCTCCTTCCTGCCATTGGCTATCTACATCCACCGTCCTTCCTCTGCAGCCGTAATTGATGAAGTTGGTATGTGGCCCCGAGGAATGAGGCTCTCTCACAGCTCAGATGTACACTGCTACAGTTCCGGTGTGGGACTGTCCAAAGCAGCCACTGTTTGCTTTGCGTCTGATGGCACATGTGTAATGTTGATTTATACCTCGGTCTTTCCATTGATCTATTTGTTCGCACTATTAGCCAAGTAAGGCCCGTCGGCAAGCCTTAAACGAAATATTGGGCGATGCTGATTGAAAATAATCTAACTTTACACGTTGTGTAATTACTTAGACACACACTCTTTTAGAATAATCATTCATATCGAACCACATTGTAACACACTATGATGAAAAAACAATTTAATAAATATATTTTTACTGTGATATTTAAATGATATACGGCTTTCCCATTGGATAGGAGGTCGGACACATGAACGCGAATATGACGTTCATAAGTGTAAGAACGACACATGTTGACAACTTAGCAAAACTGGGTAAGTCAGATATTTTGATTGCATCGCCGTTCAGTGATTTTATCGGTAGAACCTTCCAAGTGAAGGAAAAGGAGAGAACGTCTAAAATATATGCCGATCCGTATGACACCATAACACAGCACAAGGCAACCTTACTTTCAGTTTGAGGAAGCGCATGCGTGTTACACATCTATTCTCACGAAATGTGCACCATTTGTAATTTTTCGTGTCTCCGCATTAAAAAACAACAACTTTTTTACTGATTTCACCTGTTCATTTCATATTTATATTGGGCGACAGGCTTGGAAGGTATCCAAGACACAGAAATTGTTAATGATCTGTTATTCATGTGTGTGACTCAGGATAAAACGTCAGTCAAAATCACCGAGATGTGCATGTCTCCAATGATAGTATAACATTTCGAGGGAATATTCATCTAGTGTCAACAAAACAGATTACATTTTCGACAAAAAGTGTTGTCCCTTTCGTCCATACCCTGAACATATCTTCATATGGTTTAAGTTTGTTAGAATTTATGTTTAATATGATGTCTCCATAAAAGTGTAATCCACGTTACCCCACGAAAATGTCCATATAATTATTTATAAACTTATATGTATTCATTAGATAGTATGCCTTATGTATAGTTTTATATTGGGACAATACAATATCAATCTCATAGCCAATACATTTCAGCCGATTTCTCACCATGATGCTTAACAGGTTTAAAGTTGTAGAGACATTTTAAGGAGGTAATCTATCTGATCACCATAAGATAAAAAGTGTACACCCAGTGTCACCAAAGGGGTTGTAAAATGAACGGACCTATTCGGTAGTAACAACTAAGTGAAGGAGATGCTCTTCCATTACACTTTAAACGTTTGGTAGGACGTCTGTGTAATCTACGTTATGTAATCTACGTGACCTCATTTTCAAAGAACACGTGAAGATCCGGGTTAGAACTGACCTTCAGTAACCCATGCTTGTCGTAAGAGGCGACTAACGGGATCGGGTGGTCCGGCTGACATGGTTGACACATGTCATATGTTCCCAATTGCACAGATCGATGCTCATGCTGTTGATCACTGGATTGTCTGGTCCAGACTCGATTATTTACAGACCGCCGCCATATAGCTGGAATATTGCTGATTGTGGCGTAAAACTAAACTCATTTATTCGCGGTGTGCACACCTTTGACACTGACCGTCCACTGGTTCCAGAAGTAATGTAGGCGCAGTCATCCAAGCGCCAAAAGCACATGACATGACGTACAATTTATTCAGTGGCGTGATTGAAATGTGCACGATTGTCCAGGGACACTTTACAGGTCACCACACACTATCAGGGCTACTGAGGTATGGCAGTTTTATGGATCTAAT